GAGACGACACGAGCAGGGGGCAGACTCAGGACCAGACCTGGACGCCGCAGTAGACACCTGACCCGACGCAGCTACCTGACCAGACGCAGCAACCGGAGGAGACCCAGTAGTCAGTGTGTACAGGCTCGACCCCGGCCGACGGGTAAACGTGGCCAAGTGTCGGCCCGTCCGAGCACACGTACAGTGGGTCACTCGCTGACTCGCAGGAGTGAACTGGTGAACCCCTCCATCCTGTAGGTCAGCACCACTCACCAAGTTCGTAGAGAACGAGGGGAGGTAAAGACCTGACAGGGTGCCAGAAGGGGCCGCCGGACACGGTAGGACAGTGGAGTAGTGAGCAAGGACAGGACCCCCAGAGGGGTCTGCCAGAGAGACCGCCACTGGCCGACTAAGTGGCGTGAGTGTAGTGCGGTCTCGAAAGAAGGAGCGGGAAGCACCCGAGTCAAGGGTGAAGGTGTGACAGGCCTGGGCCGACGTGGTACCTGAGAGAGCAGACGCACCAGTACCTGGGGCAGCAGACGCACTAGCACCTAGAGCAGCAGCCTCACCAGCACCTAGAGCAGCAGCCTAAATGCCTGGGTCAGGCGGGACACACAGGTAACAGTCACCCTCATCACTAGTAGACACAGCATACATGGCAGCAAGAATAGCATCAAAGTCTAGATCAAAGATTGCAACCCCCGACCTAAAGAGCTCGCCCCAGCGAGGGATCTCAGCGGCGCCAGGGAACTGGAGACGCCAAGCGTCCGTCAGGCGGCCGAAGCAGCGCTGGGTGGGGTGCGGGCCTCCGCACGTCTCACCAGTGCGGTCGCCGGTACGCAGGACGTAGGTACAAGGACGGACCACCACCGGAGCCACCTCTCTGCGCAGAGCCACCCCGACCAGCGCCGCCGCCGCCGCCGCCACCTCCACTACCGCCGCCACCGCCGCCTCCTCCGCTCCCGCCGCCACCGCCGCCGCCTCCTCCGCCTCCACTGCCGCCACCGACACCCCCACTCCCGCCACCACCCCAACCACCACCCCCACCCCCTCCGCCGCCTCCACCGCCACCTCCACCGGCCCCGCCAGCTCCACCAGCGCCCTTGCCCCCCTTGCCCTTGCCAGTGCAGCGTCTCCCGCTAGGGGCAGACGCCCCGCCGACCGACTCAAGACCAACTAGGTCGGCCGCAGCAGCAGAGGCAACAGAGGGCAAGAGGGGGGAGTGGGAACACCCCTCAAAGAAGGGGGTACGAGGGTCACCACGAGAGGCTCCTACAGCGACTATACTCTTCTCTGCTGCCAGGAGGCGCTCCTCGAGGAGGTCAACGGTGAGAGTGTTGGGGCAAACAGAGAGGAAGTGGTCCCTGACCGAGCGAAGGGAGTCAGGGAGCCGGGTGACTATGTAGTAGAGGGTGATGTACATAGGGGGGGGGTTCTTGGCGCAGAACTCAGCAGGAAGTGCAGCGCGGTAGCGTGTGTCACTAGTGCGAAGGTGCGTAATGAGGTCAGCGACTGTGGGAAAAGCAGCGAGGTCAGGGAACAGGTACGGCAGCATGAGGCGGCTAAGGGCAGCAGTGGCAGGGGAAGAGTAGCGTGCAACTACAGCGTCGTACAAGGTCTTAGCACTCTTGTACTGACTAAAGTGCGCACGCTCAGTGGTCGGTAAGTGACGGCGCACAGCAAGACGGGCAGCAGCATCGCGTGTGGCCCACTGTGAGCGAACAGTGCTGTCAGCATCAGTAGGCGGGGCAGGGGAGGCACCAGACGTGAGATCGAACAGGGAGAGACCGTGTGCCCTATCGCACTGTAGGAAAAGCTGCAGGTCATCGATCCAGACCTCAAAGTCAACAGCTCGACCCTCGGCATCAAAGGTAAGGACACTAGGGGTAGCCATGACAGCAGCAGCCTAGCGGGGAGAGCAGGAGGCTAGAGGTGGCGCAGTAGCAGAGGTGCTGCGCGAAAGTGCGCTTTCCAGACCGTTAGTTAGGGCTGCAGCGGCAGTTGTGGTCGCGGCTCGACGGCGGCGGCTACTCGAGGGCGGCAGCGGCTCGGCGGCTCGGTGGCGGCTCGGCGGCGGCTCGGCGGCTCTGCTTCGCGGCGGCTCGGCGGCTCGGCGGCTCGGTGGCGGCTCGGCGGCTCGGCGGCTCGGTGGCGGCTCGGCGGCTCGGCGGCTCGGTGGCGGCTCGGCGGCACGGCGGCGGCTCGGCGGCTCGGCAGCGGCCGCAAGATGTCGGCAACGGGGCCACGAGAGAGCGGCGACAGGGCCGCGAGAGGGCGGCGACGGGGCCGCGAGGGGGGGGGGTGGCGACGGGGCCGCGAGAGGGCGGCGACGGGGCCGCAAGGGCGGCGACGGGGCCACAAGGGCGGCGTGATCACACAGGCAACACATCGCTGCTCCAATGGCCAAGTGGGCCAGTTTGTCTCTTTCAGACGAAACTATACGCGATTTCTACTTGATCAGCTCCCTTGCTATAACTCTCCTGAAAAAACATATGAACATATAGCATTTGTCTGGGCTCTCATATGGCCCCAAAGGCAAAGTCTGCCGCAACATATGAACTATACATTTTGTGCCAGAAACCTAGACCAACAGACTAATTTAGTCTGCTAACGAGAGCCCGGCCGCGACGGGGCCGCTGGCGGCGACGGGGCCGTTGAGGGCGGCGACGGGGCCGCGAGGGCGGCGACGGGGCCGCAAGGGCGGCGACGGGGCCGTGAGAGGGGCGGCAACGGGCCGCTGAGGACGGCGACGGGGTCGCTGCGGGCGGCGAAGGGGCCGCTGAGGGCGGCGACGGGGCCGTGAGAGGCGGCAACGGGGCCGCTGCGTGCGGCGTCGGGGCCGCTGAGGGCGGCGTCGGGGCCGTTGAGGGCGGCGTCGGGGCCGCTGCGGGCGGCGACGGGGCCGCTGAGGGCGGCGACGGGGCCGCGGCGGGCGGCTACTGGGCCGCTGAGGGCGGCGACGGGGCCGCTAAGGACGGCGACGGGGCCGCAATGGGCGGCGAGGGGACCGCCAAGGGCGACGACGGGGCCGCGAAGGGGACGCGACTCGACGGGAGGACGGCCGACGGGGCGCGCCTCGGGCAAGGGCGACTCGCAATCCGGGCAGGGAAACAAAAAAAAAATAGTGGTGGGCCCTAGGAAGCGTTCCCACTAGGGAACCTGCTCTGATATCATGTGAAAATGAACGAGAGAATGAATGACTAAGGAATGAGTGTGATACAAATATGAAACCCTAGAAGTTTGTGTACCCCTTAGTATCTAACCCGCTACAGCCTACACAGGCTAGATCATATCAGTCTGACAGCCCAGCCCAGCGGCATGTTTGCCGCTCTCTCTGTCAGCCATTGTTTCATCGGGTTCTCCTCCATCAGAACTGCCCCGAGGTTCCAGAGCGCCTGGCTGTTGATTCTATCTGTTGGATTGATCACCCCGAGCCCCCCCTCTTTCCTTCCCAGGTGTGCCAAGAATCCACTCCAGAGGATGAAGTGTTTCTCCTCGTCAGCGCACCCTTTCGAGATGAAATTATGACACAGCTTCAAGATTCTCTTCCAGATCTGCTTCGGCGGCTGATATACCTGCGCCAGGAAGAGGATCACTGGCATCACGTATTCGTTCAAGACTGTCACCCTCGCCGATGTGGACAGGTGCAGTCTCTCCCAGTTGCGCAGTATCGTATTGATCCGGACCAACGCTTTGTCCCATGTTGGCTCTGTATTGCCATCTGACGTTATCCAAATGCCTAAAAATCTCTCCGGTTTGCCTCTCTCCGCCCAGCAGAAGCTCGAGTCAGTGAGTGGCGGAAGTACCCTGTTCCTCCCCAACGGCATCACGGTCGACTTTCCTTAGTTTACCTTCAGCCCCGACCTTTCACTGAAATCGTCGAAAAGCTTCTGCGCCTTCCCGAGTTGCTCCTTCCCTTGAAGTATGAGCGTCGTGTCGTCTGCGTAGCCCAGGTACGTCAGTTCTCCCTTCCCTCTTTTCCGCAGTCCGAGCTTCCTCCTCTTCGCTTCCTGACAAAGTGGTTCCGCTGCGCAGATGAACAAATATGGCGCCAGTGGACAGCCTTGGCCTGCTATATGTACTCAACTCAACTGCCTGCTAGTGAAACCCCCCTTCTGCTGTTCATTCCTCGTTCTATCTTTCACAACCGTAACACGTCCTAACTTGGCAAGTGTACTCCATAACTAGGGTATGCAGGAAGAATGAGGGCGCATTCGTATTGCCTGTCAGATCGCCCCTACTCTCCAATTTCCGTCTTCACCTCCTCGTTTTCCCTGAAGCTCGAAAACGTTGGGGTCTTTCGAACCTCCAATGTTTGACCTGATGTAAGACACGTCACACGTGGACAAATGGGCCCTGAGATTTGCCAAATAATGAATGGGTCCGCATGGTGCCAAATGTGCCCCATCCTTCCACCGTCGTTTTCCGCCTCGCACTTGTTTCCGCTTCTCACACATTTTTGGTCAACATTTTTCTTCCGCTTCCAGAGTTCGAACCCCAACCACATTCGTGCAGAGGAGGATCACTCAACACAACGCAGCACGGAGCAACCACATCCACATTCTGGTCGTGTTGTCCTCTCTCCCGCAGCCGCAGCAGCCTTGGCGCTTCACATGCGTGACTTTAGTCGGACGGCACTGACGTTGGAAAGTGTTTCGATTTACCACGCTTCTGCTCTCACCCATTCCGCTCAAGCTTGTTGCGACCACGATGGGCACTAGACCGTTAGCAGCTTTGGCTATCCTTCTCCTAGCAATCACTCCCGGTAAGCCAACCCCGCGGGTTGCGGGTCAACTTCCGCGCCCCGGACGTGAGGACAGTCACTTCGCGACAAGCGCGGCAGCCTGCCAACCGTCCTTCCCCCCCTTGCGTCTCCGAGCCATCTCCCGCATCACCCCTCACCGCCACGTGGCATCTGCTTGCATTTCTCCTTCTCCCGCATATCTCCCCTCCCCTCCCCTCCTCCCCGCATAAGCCCCCCACAACACCTAATACCCGGTCCCCGTCCTCCATTGTCTTTCATGCACGTACAGTTCTCTCTCGGCCCCCTGGGGGAGGCCCCGGCGGACCTGGCGGACCAGGTGGTCCTGGCAGACCTGGCGGATACGGCGGGCCTGGCGGATTCGGCGGACCCGGCGGACAGGGCGGAGGAGGTCCGCCTAATGGCGGTCCCCCTGGTGGCGGCGCCGGCGGACAAGGGGGCCCAGGGGGGCGGGGGGGGCCAGGCGGACAGGGGGGCCCAGGCGGACCACCTGGCGGCCCGCCCATGGGGCCTCCGCCGGTGTTCGGCCCGTTAAACCTGAAGGTTGTGGGCAATCTGACCAGTGCGTGCTTGTCGCGTCGCGCTCGCACTCTTGGGTCCGGGGACGAGACTTGCGGTCGCGCGGGGCTCGGGGCAACGGGTGGGGGAAAACGGGACGGGGGAAACTGCGGAAGGGAAGCTGGGAGGTCGGCTGTGGTGTGGAGTTGATCTCATCTGCTGACGTATCACTTCTGCACTTCTGCGCCTCTGTTGATTGCTTGTTATTGCCTTCACCCCTCGCTCCGCTTCCCTCCTCTCTCTCTCGCCATCTGTCAGTGGGGCGCTTGAATGCAAACATTATCTTATCCCGCCCTCCCTCTGCGCCACCCCCTCTGCTCCCCTGCACTGCTCCCCGCACCAGCCGCTGGTGGCGCTCGACTCGCCAACTGCTCCACTGCATTCCCCACGGAACACGCGGATTTCCGATTCGGCATCTTCAAGTGAGTGTGCGTCGCGGCGCGCGGCGCGCATCTGGCCTGGCAGCAGAAGCGCTCGATCGTGTTCTCAATCGAATCACCTATGCACCGATGTTCGAGAAATGATGCCCATGTTCATTTGCGGACCCCACACACATCTATCTGTCCACCGTACCTGTGTGGTCTGCGTGTCTGCTGTGTGTCAGGAACGACAGTGGCAACTACAACATTGTGTTCCAGGCCATGCTGGTGGACGCAGCTGGAGGCCCGCCCGATTCCCTTGCAATCACCCAGGGCGCTGCGTGCGACGCCGCGGCCACGTCTTTCCTCTCCCTCCCCATCGCCACCACCGATTGGATCGTCCACTCTGGCTGGTGGCTGCTGCACTCCGAAATGCGCCTCGACGGATTTCTGGAGAACGCAGATCCGGCTACGCTGACAACCCTGCTCGCCGCGATTCCCAGCATTCCCGATAGTGCAGTTACTTCTACCGGTGGAGCTTCTGGGAACCGGCGCAAGGGCATGGAGAGTGGTGTTCAGGGGAGGATGCTGCTGTTTGACCTGTTCAAGTCCCTTGGGAAGGCCGTGGGGGGGGCGAAGAAGAAGAACCAGGGAGGCAAGAAGAATTCTGCTAAGGGCTCGGGCAACATGGGTGAGCCGCTTACTGTGACCGGGTATGCTGTGCTGGCTGCGAGCTCCGCTTCTGGTGCCACATGGGGTGCCGAGCTCAAGGGTGTGTTGGTGCCAGAGGCTCCCCTGGCCCCAATCCCGTGATGTAGTAGGGGGGATCCTTGGCCGTATTTCTGTAGGATATGATATGGCTGGGCATGTGTTGCATGAGAGTGGATGTACCGGTGAGTATGCCATTGTGAAATCTCACCGTCTAGTGTAGTTCTGTGCTGGGTGTTGGGTGCAAGCCAGTCTAGAGCTACCGTATTTATCTCCCATCCAAGGGCCCGGTTGACCCCCCGGACAGGCCTCGAACTCACCTCAGAATTGTTACGCATGGGTGTTAGGGCGTATCCAACTTCGGGTCATCAGCACTGTTCCGAGCAGGCCCCCAGAAGTAAGAGAAATTTGTCTGATTTGCATGAAAAACTCTGAGAATTCAGATTTTTTTTTTTTTTTTTTCAAGTGAGCTCTGTTAAAATCAGAGATTTTAGGGCCCCAACTCTGTAATTTTCAGAGAAATTCTAAAGCTAACTCTGACGTTTCAGAGTTTTCCGTGAGTGTACTCTGATCACCCAGAGTACAAATGCGTACCGATTCCGTTTTCTGCTTGCGTTCTTGACTGGTGATTCGGTTTGGACTTCACGGGTCACAGCAGATTCGCTAAGTCAATGCAAAATCGGCTTGAAACAGCAAATCTGCGCCTTACAGCACAGAATTTTCGCCCAATCACAGCAAAATCGCCTTGACACAACAGATTCGCGCCGTCAGAGCACAAAAAATTCGACCTATCACCTTGAAATTTCACCTGACATCCCAGATTCGCCCTTTCACACCACAAAAATCGCCCTGACACAGAAATTCGTGCTGTCAGAGCATGTTCTCCCTAAAACCCCCCTAGTGTAGCATGTTTCGATATCAGATGAAACATTGATTACATTTTTATGAAACATCAGATACATTGATGTTTCAGACTTTTTTTCTAAGGCACTCTGAAATTTCAGCTTTTTTTTATAACCGACTCTGAGGGTTTCAGACTAAAATTTTGTACTAGTCTGATGAATCAGACAGGCAAAAAACGAATCTGAGGGCCTGGTTCCGAGCATCCGCAATATGCGGATGCCCCGAACTACACAAAACACCACTTTGGGCCATCGAACATCGTGCGACTCTCAAAAAGGCGCGTTTGTTGTCCCGCCAAAAAACCAGAGCCAAACGTGGCTCCAACCAATAGGTGCGCGCGCATTCATGCCATGCGATCCTTTTCACCCGGTTGCGCGACACTCAACCCACCACCCCACCCGTCAAAATTCCCGGCGGTAAAAAGAACATTTGGATCTGCGCGCCTCCGAAACCCATCCCAACCACACAGCCTCACCCAAGGGTTTCACAAAACGGCAGAAACAGAAATTGAGGATGAAGTAGATCTAGATCTCGAATTGAGAATAGCCTGCACACCACCCCGTTATCTCCGTGCGTGAGCCACCCCATAGAACCAGGATGCCTCCGCGACGAAGCTCACGCGGCAAGGGAAAGGAGAAGGTTAGCGATGATGAGGCCCAGGCTGACCCCCCCTACGTCGCATGGATGAAAGAGCAGCAAAAGCAGGGGAAGCCCTCCCCATCTATCAAGCGTATGGCTAAGGCCGTACGCGAAACTGCGGGCGCCAGCACTAGCCGAAGTTCCCGGCATGACTATCCCGACACAGGCGCCGATACTGACGTCTCCGATGACGATCTCGAGGAGATCGTCTCGGAGTCGGATAGCGATGCCGACTCAGACGATTACAAACGCGGCAGTGACGAGGACGAGGAAGATAGTGATGGAGGCGAAGACGGGAGCGGTGATGAGCGCATCACACGCCCGTCGAAGAAGGAGCAGCGGGCTCCAGCGTCCCGGAACAAGCGCTAGTGGTCGGACGCCGAGTTGACGTCCCTGGCGGCCGCTCGTTGGAACACTAAAGACGACCTGAAGGCTATGCAGGGCAAGCAGGGGAGCCAGTACTGGAGGAAGCTCCGCGCACACATGCTTGAGAAGGACAAAAATTGGGACCGCGATGAGGGGCAGATGTCCAACGCCTGGAAACGCCTGGAGAAGAAGTACCTGAAAACGAAGCGGGGGGAGGGACAGAGCGGAGGTAAAGCAATAAAGAAAAAACCGTGGTGGGAATACGTCTACCATCTAAAAAAGCACTTGGCGAAGGCCAAAGCCCACGCCCTCGACGGTGGAGGCGCGGCGAACGTCAACGTCCAAGCGTACGCCCCGGTGCCCGGCTGCACCGACCGGGAAACTTCCGCCCCTCCATCGGAAGGCCGTGTGCGCGGTAACCGCCGTCAGGCGGGCACACCAGGTGTGTACTCCCCACTCGTAAGTGTGATTAGTTCATGCTTCGCTTCGGGGCTTTCTTTGTGATTGCCGCGGGTGTCACCCTTCCAGCGATTGTGGTTCATCGTTAGTCGTGTGAGCATGACCAACAAGGTGATGATGCAAATATCCATACAGTCAACGTCATAAAAAAAACCGTATCCGCCTTATTGACATACACACCCCCTACACCCTCCCCTACAGATGCCGGGGTGACTCCACCCCCTAAACGACGGCGGATTGAGGAGACTGCCACCATGGCGGTCGCAAAGATGGTGAGCGAGGCCATCAACTCCACCAATGCGACGGTGGTGCGACAGCTGCAAGACTCCACCCAGCTCCTTGTCACCGCCATGAACATGGCGGCGCTCCAGGCTGGCTTTCGCCTGCATATAGCCAGCCCGCCAGCGCCTAACGCGGCACCTACGAATACCCCGCCTCCAGCCCATCCGGAAGTGGCGGACGACGAGAACATGGCGGGGTCCGAGGATGTCGCAGAGCATGCGGAGCCTTAGCGCGCCGACGTCCGCACACGGTGACGCCTGAGGTAAGCGCGATGGATGTGCTTGCCGAAGTGATGCCTGCGCGCGCGCAAATCGGCCAGCGAAGGGTTGTCGAGGCTCTGCCACTCGTACTTGTCCATGCCGCTTCTTGTCCACCAGCCGTTAGGGAGCCCGGCCCAGATAAAGCGGCGCGGATTGTGCGTCTTCATCCGCGGCGTGCTAACGACCTGCAACATGTTGTGTAGGATGATGATGCAGGCCGTCCCAGCGCAGACACGCCAGAGCTTGCTCTCGTTCCCGCGCGCGAAGAGCCGCCAGCGTCCCTTCAATGCGCCGATGGTGCGCTCGACGACCATGCGGGTAGCAGATTGCACGTAGTTGTATGTCTGCTCCCATTTCTTCATCAGGCGACGGCGTGGGGCGTGAAGGGGGGTGAGCATGTAAGGCTTCAGCGGGTATGCCGCATCTCCTACAAGCTGATAGGGGGCGATTTCCCCACTCTCTAGCCTGCCATGCAAATCAGATGTTGAGAAAACTCCTTGATCATGCATTGAACCAGGATTGCCCACGTTGTAATCCCAGATGACTCCCTTAGAATCGCATGTCACTTGAAGTTGCACACTGTAAACCTGCTTCCGGTTGTAGTAGTCACCACGGTGAGCCTCCATGCCACGTAGCTCAATGTGGGTCCCGTCAATTGCCCCAATCACGTTGGGAACGCCCTTGATTGCACGGAAGTCAAGCGCCATCTCCTCCCTCACGTCCTCCGTAGGGAACTGCACCCATTCACGCTTGAACTTGCGGGGAAACCATACCAAGAAGGCATCGACGATACGGTGGATGAGTCCTTTGGGCAATCCAAACAAGAGGCCCAAGTCGTGGAACGTCATGGCGCTGGCAAAGTACTTGATGGGGATAAGACAGCACAGTGACAAGGGAACCTCATTCACTTCCACAAAACGCGACATGGGGTAGGCCATTCGCTCGGCGATGAGGTCGAGGACTTCGCGGGTAATACGGAAGGTATCTTCAAACTCCTCGTCGAACATCGCGCGGATCTCCTCCACCCATTCCGCCACAAGAGCCTCGCGACGCCGTTTCCGTTTCTCCCGGCGCTCGGTTTCACGGCGGGCGCGTTCGGCATCTTCAGCCTCAGCCATGGGTAGGATGGTGGTTATCCACTCTAGAGCCGCAAGGGAGATTACATGCTGCCAGGTGTTAAGAAGCACCTCATGCCACAGGTGTAAGGCCACACAAAGTATGAGGACCTGACCTGTGAGCATGGTTTAAGGACGCCTAGGAGGCGTAAAGTGGCAGCTCATCCTATCAACAGGAGCTGTTTGACGTGCGTGCATCATGCGGGCCGCGTTGGGAGTCGCGCCGGTTGCAAGGCGGCTAGCTGTGGTCAAGCTTGTGCTTGTAGATATGGTTGTCGGGCCGTATTTTCGTGGAGCTTTGAACATTTGGCTTGTATCGGTGTTCATGGTCAAGTGGCTTTTACAGAATAGGGCTACACGCAGTGATGGTGTTGGTGAAATTGCCGGGCGAGAATGTTGTAAGACGTCCGTCAAAAGGGGGGGACCCAACACGGGGTCGCCCTTGTTTCTGATTGGTGGGGGTCACATTGGGCGTGACGCTCGCATGCAGGTTGTAGGATGACCCGAAGTTCGAGCCGCGCGCGGTTTGTGAAGAAATGAGGAATGAATGATGAACTAGGAAATGAGTTGGGTACAAATATGAAACCCTAGAAAGCTGTACCCCATACTGTCTACCCCACTACAGCCTAGAAAGACTATAGCATATAAGTTTGACACACCCCCATAGGCAAAGTGGGGGAGAACAAGGGGTCACAAGACCTAGTCAAGCAAAGCACAGCAAGCTCAGGGTGGATCACAACGTCACCACACATTCTGAGCACAAGTTCAAGGGCCACAAGGCCAGTTCACATGCAGAGATATATACATAAAGTTAAATATGCAAGTGCAAGTATATATAAGTCAAAGTACAAGCAAGGTCAAGAAGTGAGCAAGTGAGGCAAAGTAGGTACAAGACCTAACAGAGTACAGAACCGCTGATGATCACAAGGCGCGAGTGCCTTGGTGAAGATATCAGCAGTGTTGGCCTGAGAGGCCACGTAAGCAAGTCGCAGCTGACCACGCTGCTGCAGCTCACGAGCAAGGAAGTAGCAAAGAGCAATATGCTTCGTTCTGTGTTCCAGTCTGTGCTCACGACACAAGG